ATATATATGTAACGCCTTGACAGGTTTGTGCAGATTCGAAAACTGGTGACTAGAAGTAAACATGTAAAGAGGTCAATAAATGGATTCTCCATGAGTGGCAGCAAGACTTTGGTTAACCTTGGTTTTAGAAGGAAAGGCGTTAAGGTATAATTTGCAACATAAATGAGCTATATCAGAACTGGAAATCAAAGCTGTTATCAATAACAAATGATATATTTATATAGCGCCCAACCCCGTTTACAGTACACAGGCTCCGAGCGCTTAAACAATACAATACAACAGTAACATAAAACGTTGTATTCTGACAAAAAGAAAATCTCTCTAAATATTCATCTTATCAATTTAAAAACAGAAAAGACTTCAGCCCACATTTGAATGAATCAAATGATTTGATCTCTCTTAAACTACTTGGCAAAGCATTCCGGATCTTGGGGCCTTGATATTCAAATGCCCTTTCATCCATTGTTTTAAGTTTCATAGATGGTAAAAGAAATGTGTTTGTCAGCTGCTGATGACTTTCAACTGGGAGTTGGAATGTACAGTCTAAATAGATTTGATAAACATGATGACGCATTATTATTTATTAAGCATTGGTGACATATTAGAGAGGGCACAATTTTCGGTACTTTTACTGTACTCCGGTACATTTTTGAGAACCAGTGCTTTTACTCTACTCAGATACTTTTAAAAAAAAGTACTTTCGAGTATTTCTTAAAGTCATTTTAAGCACTTTTGAAGCTTAATGAAAGAGTAAGAGCCGGCATTTCTGATCATAATGTACGGAACAAACATCCGGGCGGGCACAGCCGATCAACCAAGAGTCAAAATTTGAGATCAAAGAACGGCCCGTCGCGTCAATGATCAGCCACTCTCGTGAATGTGATCACAAGCGTCGTAAAAACTCCAAGAAACGGTAAAATGTTTGCCCAAGACGGGATCACACCGAGGTGTGAACTGACCGATGCGTTTTTTCCCCCCAAACATCACAAACATCACACTCGCATCTGAGCTCGCCACCTAAACTTACATCACTCGCTGGGTGGGTAGGGCCTACAAGTTCGCTCCAGGCAGGATCACATCGAACTGTGAACTCTTCCCTGATCATTGAGGGCAGTTTTTCTCTATTCCCGAACTTGCGAGACAGACTGAATTTTAATCGGTGAGGTCACAACGTAATGGTGCATAATGACAAAGAGATCTCTCAATAAGAGATGGAAGGAATTTTTTGACAGTTAAAGGGGAGGGGCAACTGGATAAACGTAGATCTAAATGAAGAAAGATCTGGAGACTCACGATAGGCTAATGAGTGTATGGGATGCCTCATGCCACTGTGATAGGTCATC